ACCTCTCTGACGGAACCCCCACCTCCCCAAGTGTGGCCTGCTTTTTTAGTGCCCCCCCCCCTCCCCCCCCCCCACCTGTTATTTGTGTTGTACAGGGAGAGAAGGGGGTGCTCCTTAAAAAGGAAAGAACACAGACCTGCCCTCGCCCCCCAAACAAGCAGCTCCCCCTCCTCCCCCCCTTGTGGTCGCCAATCCCAAATTTCCCTCTGTCATATTAGGAAGTGAGCCGAGATTTCTGTCATGCTGAATCATGGCGTTGCCTCGCAAAGTGTGTCATCGTTACCATCGCGGCAAAAAATTCTTTTTCTGTCTCCCTCCTTTCCCCCAACAGTTGTGAGTGCTTCTCTTTCCCCGCCTCGGTGAGGAACGCCGCAGCTGTGGAAGGTCCAGAGCGAGGAGAGGACACTCGGCTGAAATAGCGCAGTGGGGAAAGGCAGCGAGAGCGAGCGAGAGAGCAAGAGGGAAACCGAGCGTGCAAAAACGGACGGCACTCTGCCTCATGTCTCCTCCTCACACCATCTCCACTCCTCGCCGTGCCTTGCTGAGAAATCCCTCGCACTGACCGGGTGCGTGCGAGCTGCGCTTCGTATCGTGTCGGCTTCCTTTCGCTGCCGTATGTCGTTGTCTTGGGGGGACCCAGCAGCCGCTGGCGTTTTGGCCTGGAGAGAGCGTGTGAACGAAGCACACCCAACCCTGGCGATCACCGTCTTGTTTCTGCAATAACAACTTGATCGCAAAGTAGACCCGAGCAAGAAAAGGGGCCAGGGGAGTGGAGAGGACTTTAGAAGGGGGATTCTGCCACATCTTTGCCTTCCAGAGCAGAGCTGCGCATTTTTCTCCTCCTCCCAGCATATCTCTCTCCCTCCCTCTCCCTCTCCCTCTCTCTCTCTCTCTCTCTCTCACTCACACACACACGCACACACACACACACACGCGTGCCAATCATGATGTTTCGAGACCAGGTCGGCGTGCTGGCAGGGTGGTTCAAAGGCTGGAACGAGTGTGAGCAAACCGTTGCGCTGCTGTCTTTGCTGAAGCGGGTGAACCGGAGTCAAGCCCGGTTCCTTCAGCTGTGCCTGGAGCATTCCCTCTCCGACTGCACGGAGCTGCGCGTTCTGGAGAACGAAGCCAACAGCCCTGGTAAGTGGTGCCCTCTGCCCCCGCTCCTCAGCCCGCCGTCCCACGCCACTCCCCCCCCCCCCCCCCCCCCCGTGGTGCATCCAGGCCGTTCTGAGTGCCACATTGTTCTCTGGCCGCTTCCGAGGAGGGTGAGGACGGGGTGTACTCATCCTCAAGCAGCCGGCTGGGGGGAGCCCACCCAGTTTCTGTCGGAGCCCACCCAGTTTCCTCCCCTGAAAGGAGGAAGCAGCAACAGCCGGGAGGAAGGCAGCTTTCGGCACTTTTGCGTCTTTTCTGCATTCTCATGCCGTGGAAGCGGCGGCGTGACGGTGGCAGCACAAGCGCCGGCGAATTGTCTTTTCCTCCCTCCCGGGCAACTTCCTGTCACATAAGTTAGTCGGGTCACGTAGAGTCTGGATTTCCTCGGCTGCTTTTGGGCTGGGTGGCTCCTCGCCTCGGCTCCTGAGCAGCATGCAGAAGCAGCGTTTCCCTGGGCAGGCTGCTCTGCTCGGCAGTGCCGTCTCCTTTTCCTGGGAAGGCCTTTCTCTCGGCAGGATCTCCTGACGGAAGCCTTTCCGCCCAAACCACCCATCCGTCGTTGCGCAGGGCACCGGTCGGTCGTGTGTTGGCAGATGCTGTGCTTTGCCGCATGATGCGGCCCTCCCCAACCTTGTGCCCTGCAGATGTTTGGGCTTCGGCCCCACCAGCCCCTGGTCGGCGGTGAGGAGTCCCTGAGCCAGGAGGGCAAGGTGGTGGGTGGAGGGGTACCAGCTGGAACAAAACCGTGCACATTTTAATTGGCCGATACTGATATTTTTATATAAAAATCACTCTGTTGTGAGTTAGGTGGGACTTTGGATTAGGCAGGCGGTAAGCCTGAGCTTAGAGGGCAACGAGAAAGAGCCCCTCCTGCCTGTGTTGGTGCAGGAGCGGGGGAACTGTTCTTGGATTACAGATCCCATCATTCCTGAGTGTTGGCCAGTATTGAGCTGGGAGTCCTCGCAGGGTCCCCACCTGTGTGCTAAAGCAAGAAACCTCCCAAGCACCGGTCAGTTTGCTGTTCCTGCCTGAGGATTTTGTTTAGAGCTCTCTTGACTGTTTGTGCTTGCCATGGAAAGCTCCACATGAGTCTGTTGCTGAAAAATATTCCACCAGTGCTGAGGCTCATGTGACACATTTCAAGTGTCCCTTCATCCAAGCCACCTTTCCCTAATCTGGTGGTCTCCAGATATGGGACTACATTTCCCAGAATCCTTCAGCCAACTATGCTTGTGCAGGGCAAAGTTGTCCCGTAATATTTATCCCCGTATTGCCTTGGGTGGGGCCAAGATCGGGAGAGGGTGAGCTGAGGAAGGTCCAGTTACTGAGTCTATGGGCACTAAGTGAACCGGGGGCGTCACTGCACCATCATGGAAACCCACCCGCTGTGTGTTACCTGTGCGTGCATGTGTACACACGCGTGCACTCATGAACGGCTCCACATGTACCAAATTCGTGCACCTGCTTTTTTCCTGTGGAAGCTACATGTATTTAGAAATGTGGTTTCTCCATGTCATCCAAGGCAGCCTTCTCCAAGCTGGTGCATGCTGGACTACGATCCGTGTAGTTTCCAGCCAGCCGGCTGCCTGGGAATCACGGGAGTTGTTGTCCGTCCAGCGTCCAAGCTGATGCCCTCCAGAGTCGATGCATGCAAATAGATGTCTCTTTCCTTCGGTCCAACCGTGCCTAGGATTGCACCCTAAGAGACTGAGCGTCTCCGTCGCTGTGCAGGCTCACCTGTCTTCCTCTGCTTGCAAGGCAGAGCCTTTTTTGTGGTGGGTCCCCTTTGCTGCCGTTTTCTTCCCGGGGGGCTTGCCTGTCTCGAGTGCCAGGGCACCAGGCAAGGGCCGTTTTTCATTTCCCAGGCGGTTCCAGGCCTTCTGTGAACAGGCTGCTCAGGTTGCTTTGTGGGTCTCTCTTTACAAGCCGCCCTGGTGGCTTCATCCTCCCTTAAAGGAACACGGAGCTCGTGGGGGGTTCACCTCCTGTGTCTTCATGAACGTGTTAGCAGGTTGAAGGGAGCCGCTCTCTCACTTTGGGCTGTTCCTTCCAATATCAAGGGTTGCAGTGGTGACCTACCTCACCGGATTGTTGTGAGTCACCGTGGGCTCGGGTGCGACGTGCTTTGAATCCCTTGCAGCTTTCTCTGCGTCAGAAGCTTTCTCTGCAGCAACTGTTGGCGTGTGCGGGCTGGGGAAAGCTGTCGCGCTTCCCTTGCTGGAATCGGGGTAAGGGCTGTCTCCCCGCGCCTGCAAACACTTGCCCATTTCTTTATGAACAGCGGAACGAGAGCATGTTCCCGGACAGGGCGTGTGCGTGCGGACCCCGGGAGTCCATCTTATGGCCGAGGGCAGCGTGCATCAACCCGGATCTGGGAGCGGCACCGCACGGTGCCCGGACCGTTCACCGGGGCTCAGGAGATCCGGGGTCTGCTCCCCCCTCGACCGCGACACCCACTGGGTGACCTTGGGCCGTCATGGGCTCTCAGTCTCACCTCCCTCACCTGGCTGTCAGGAGGAGAAGGAGGAGAGGAGGGTCTTTGGGCCCACCGGACAAACAGGCTGTGGAGGAAGCAGAACGTCCAAAGGCAAACCTGGGCTGGAATCTGCGGTGGTCACGTCACTTGTGAAGGGTTGTGTTGGCCATGAGAACGGACTAAACGCCAAAGACCAGCAAGATGCTGCCTTACCAGAGCATTTGGGAGTTGCTTGGGGTTGCTTGCTGTGTGCGTATAAGGGAGATTCTATAGATCACGGATCCAGTTAGCAAGAGCTCTTGTCTTGCACATTAAATAATGTTGTCAGGGACGTGGGGCAGGGGAAGTGCTCCTAAGCTCAGCTCGTTTGGACAGCAGTCATAAGACTGACAAACATGGCCCTTGCTCTTTTTTTAAGTCCACAATTCCAGAAAAGTAGCAGGTGTTAAAGAATAAGAAGCACATAACATTCTTTGGGCTCAGGGTGGATAAAAATCAATGATAAACAAATGTGATCAATTGGGTGCTTTTATTTAAAATGTTTTAAAATTAATTTTTAATTGACAAAATACTGAATTTCTCTCTAATTAAACACACAATTCTCATCATGAACATGCTATCAATACTTACAGACTCATGGGAATGGAAGTTTTCCTTACACCCAAACATGGGTGCTGACTTGACCCGTTATTCTCATGTCAGTGCACCAGCTAGCTGGGCAATCCAGGTGGAATTGGGCTAACCAAGGCAGACAGAAAGAAAATTCAGCACAGTGGATAAAATGGGATGCTTTTAACAAACTCAGTTGCTTTTCTCCAGCCCAGTAACCCTCAGTGTGGGACTCTTTATTTTCCTTCGATATGTTGTTGGTGTCGTCGTTGTTGTTGTTGTTTGTGGGGGCCCAAATAGAGCAAAGCAGAAAGCAGCACTCTTATTGGTGGTTTTAATGAGTGGTACACCACCCAGAGAGCCTAACAGGGTTAGAGGCACAGTTTACAAATTTAATAATTAAATAAACAAGCACGGAAAAGAAAAAGGGCAAAATTGTCCCCTGTGCAGCTTCATGTGTTCTCATGCTAAGGATGTGGTCCTCTGTCTGCTTTCCTGGGAGTAAGCCCCACTGATCTATATGCCACTGGTCTAGGATTTTGCTCAAGTTTTCATGAGTGCTGGTTACAGGCAAGAGCTGACATGCATAGATGTCATTCCCTCTATAGGAGAGAAATAATGCGTACAGAACTTAGGGTGCGACCTGGACCTGGTTCACCTGAATGACAACCCAGAGTGCTGATTGCGTATCAGTTTTCCAGGAGGTGGTCATGAAGACCCTGCACCTTGGGCAGTCGTAACCATGAACAACCCAGAGTTCGCTACCCACCAGCAAGCCATTGGTTCTCTTTCTGGCTTGTATAAATAAAACCATTTATTTATACATTTATTTACAAGCCACCTATGACTGCCGAGACCTTCCATGGTTTGTGGGTTACGTAATCCATGGCTTGTTCTTCGGTTCACGTGGAGTTTAACGCACGAATAAGCCCCAAGTGCACAGGTTTAGGTGTCGCAGAAACAACCTACAAGTACAGGGAACCGCTCCTGGGAACTGGAAGACGTTCCCACCATTGATTGGGCAAGGCCATTAGTCAAAACAGAGTCCAGGGCTTGCATGTAATGACAGCCTGCAATTTACAAGCCCCACACTTCATTTTACTTACCAGCAACGACAAAACAGTCTAAAGGCTACTCTATTGTGATGCAAATTAATGTGGCCAGGAGAGCAGATTTGCGTCATTGTTCAGAAAAATCAAAGAAAAGTTTTCAATGGTAGCCTTGGCTTCAATCAGTTATTTGAATCAATCTTTCTTCCTGTGGATTTAAATTGCTTTGATTTAGATCAGTCTGCCTTATACTCACCTGATGAAGGGTTGGGGATTTGGGGAGTGGGTTAGGGGAGAAAGGGGAGGAAAGGTAGGGGAGGTTCCCTCCCAGGAAAGCAAGTCCATCTGTGCACAGTGAGAGGTAAACCCCTTAATTTAAGAATTAGATGATTTAGGGAAGTACTTTGCTGATCCCCTTTTAAGAGTGATCTTGTGGAAAGGACATGCGCATAAAACCTTTCACCTTGAGCTGGAGGAGGAAAGGTGCTACTCTAAAAGTGCTTTCTACCTGAAAAGAGAGCCATTTTCTTTTTGCTGTTTCTGTTTCTGATTCAGTGCAATTCCAGGAGATCCCACCCATATCTGTGGCTGTTAACATTCTGGGCTCTTCAGTCTGGGGGTTTATTCAACTTGCGTGCCCTCGTTCGCTCTTTAACCTTGAGTCCTTTTTCATGGCCTGTGACGCATCAGGTGTGCCACTCATGGATGCTTAGCCTGACCTGCCTCACAGGATTGTTGTGAGGGTAAGTGTGAGAGGAAGAGGTTTCTGCAAGCTGCCATGAATTCCTTAATGAAAGAAAGGTGGGATATAATATCAATAAGAAGTCCAGCCCGGTCCAATATTTGGT